TGCATTCGACAGTCTCCTTACAGAAGGCCAATAAAAAGGAAACTTGCTACTCATATGAGAAAGAAGTATGAATATGTCAAGCCTACACCAAGTGGTGTGTGGCACAGCAGTTGTACATCCTGCTCGAAGAAATCAGCAGCAATCACAACTATGTCATGGATAACAAAGACACGAATGACCGCTGTATTTCTGGATATGCTGAAAAGTCAATGTAAAGCTGTGAGCAGTTCACAGTCTATTCCAGAGTGTGGTAGCAACATAGTTTGTGTGTTAGGGTGTACTGATTTGGCATGTACATCTAAAAAAAGTAGACATCGGAAATCATTGTCTTTTTCCGGCAGTGCGATCCAACACTGTTTGAAGTCAACTGTTAATTACTATTGAGCAGTGTTACCCACGAGCCTTGACATGCTGCTTAGGAATTCAGAGCACTGACTATTTACATGGCAATGAGTGTTCAGTATATCCAACAGTGCGGCGATGGCGTAGTGGTTAGAGCATTCGCCTCGCATGCAAAAGGTCCGTGGCTCGAATCCCGGTGCCGCGCAGTTCCCAACCGGATTAAAAAAAAATCCACGTGGTGATGGAAGTGCATTAAGAGGCCTGGGGTGCGGCCTCACCGGTAACCACTGCCGGTAACGCACTCCCTCGCCAGAGAAGGATTGGCCACCTTGGTGCAGTATTTGGCCACTACCTCCCACATGCATACGTCAATTGACTCACGGCCCTCAGTCTCCAGCAGCCGCGAAGCAATTGACCACGGCGGCGGTCAGATCTGCAATGCAGAAGAGGGTGCTAAGAATCTCTGGATCCAGACAGGCCGCCACTGGAACCTGAACTTGGCAACGTTTAACGCTAGAACCTTATCTAGTGAGGGAAGTCTAGCTGTACTATTCGAGGAGCTAGAGGGTGTTAAATGGGATGTAATAGGGCTCAGTCAGGTTAGAAGGAGAGATGAGGCATATACGGTGCTACAGAATGGGCACGTCCTTTGCTATTGGGGCTTGGCTGACAGAAGAGAACTGGGAGGGGGGTTCCTAATTCACAGAAACAAAGCTGGCAACATAGAGGAACACAATAGCATTAATGAAAGGGTGGTAGGTATCCTAACTAAACTGAATAATAGATACAAGATGAAGGTAGTACAGGCTTACGCACCTACATCCAGCCATGATGACACTTCAGTTGAAAGCTTCTATGAAGACGTGGAATCAGCAATGAGTAAGGTAAAAACACAGTATACTATACTGATGGGAGACTTCAATGCAAATGTAGAGAAGAAGCAGGCTGGAGACCAGGCAGTAAAAGATTATGGCATCGGTACTAGAAATGCCAGAGGAGAGCTACTAGTAGAATTCACAGAACGCAATAATTTACGGATCTTGAATACCTTCTACCAAAAACGAGGAAACCGCAAGTGGACATAGAGGAGCCCTAATGACGAAAATAAGAATGAAATACTAGACTTTGTAATGAGTGCACACCCAGGCATCGTGCAGGATGTGGAAGTGGTTGGCAAGGTATGATGCAGTCACCATAGAATGGTACTGTCTCGAATTTGCCTAGACTTGAAGAAGGAACGACAGAAACTGATACGCAAGAAGTCAATCAATGAGCTAGCACTGAGAGGGAAAGTACAGGAATTCAGAGTCTCGCTTAAAAACAGGTACTCTGCTCTTAGTGAGGAAACCAACCTTAGCGTAGATACAATGAATGATAATCTGACGGGTATCATTACGGAGTGTGCAGTGGAAGTTGGAGGCAGGATAGTTAGACAGGACACTGGCAAGCTTTCCCAGGAAACGAAGAACCTAATTAAGAAGCGTCAAATCATGAAAGTGTCAAATACAACAGACGAAATAGAAGTGGCAGAGCTTTCGAAGTTGATTAATATACGTAAGGTATGCGATGTAAGAAGGTATAACACGGAGAGAATAGAACACGCTCTGAAAAACGGAGGAAGCATCAAAGCAGTGAAGAGGAAACTTGGGATAGGGAAAAATCGGATGTATGCACTAAGGGGCAAAAAAGCCAAAATAACTACCAATATGGATAGGATAGTTAAAATAGTGAAGGAGTTCTACAGAGATCTATACAGTAGCCGGGACAACCAGGACATTATACTATAAGAACTAACAGTAACCCACATGACACCCCACCAGTAATGATAGAAGTCAGAAAGCTTTGGAGAGCATGCAAAGAGGCAAAGCTGCTGGTGAGGATCAGGTGACATCAGATCTGCTGAAAGATGGAGGACAAATTGTGTTAGAAAAACTAGCCACCCTGTTTACGAGGTGTCTCCTGGTGGGAAGAGTACCAGAGTCTTGGCAGAATGCTAACATCATCTTAATACATAAGAAAGGAGATGACAAGGACTTGAAGAATTACTGGCCGATCAGCTTGCTCTCTGTAGTATACAAGCTATTTACAAAGGCAATTGCCAACAGAGTAAAAAAAACATTAGAATTCAATCAACCAAAGGAACAAACAGGATTTGGAACAGGCTACTCAGCAATCGACCACATTCACACTATCAATCATGTAATAAAGAAATGCTCAGAATATAACCAATCACTATACATAGCCTTCATAGATTACGAGAAGGTATTTGATTCAGTAGAAATATCAGCCGACATGCAGACACTGCGGAATCCGGGCGTCGATGAAGTAGATATAAACATCCTGGAAGAAATCTACAGGGGATCAACTGCTACCATAGTGCTTCATAAGGAAAGCAACAGAATACCAATTCTAAGGGTGTAAGGCAGGGGACACAATCTCCCCAATGCTATTTACTGCATGCTTACAGGAGGTTTTCAGAAGCCTAGAATGGGAGTTAGGGATAAGAGTTAATGGAGAGTACCTTAGTAACCTGCGCTTCGCCGATGACATTGCATTGCTGAGTAACTCAGGGGACGAATTGCAATTCATGATAACGGAGTTGGACAAGAGAGCAGAAAGATGGGTCTTAAAATTAATCTGCAGCAAACTAAAGTAATGTACAACAACCTCGGAAGAGAACAGCGCTTCGAGATAAATAATAGTGCACTTCAAGACTATGTCTACTTAGGACAGGTAATAACCGCGGAGCCGAACCACGAGACTGAAGTAACCAGAAGAATAAGAATGGGGGTGAAGCACATTTGGCAAGCACTCTCAAATTATGACAGGTAGATTGCCACTATCCCTCAAAAGGAAAGTATAAAACAGCTGTATCTTGCCGATACTTAGCTACGGAGCAGAAACCTGGGGACTTACAAAGAGGGTTCAGCTTAAATTGAGGACGACGCAGCGAGCAATGGAAAGAAAAATGGTAGGTGTAACCTTAAGAGTCAAGAAGAGAGCAGAGTGGATTAGGGAATAAACGGGTGTTAAGAATATCATAGTTGAAATCAAGAAGAAGACATGGGCCGGGCATGTAGTGCGTAGACAGGATAACAGCTGGTCATTAAGGGTAACTAACTGGATTCCCAGAGAAGGCAAGCGAGTTAGGGGGAGAAGCAAAGGTTAGGTGGGCCGATGAGATTAAGAAGTTTGCGGGTATAAATTGGCAGCAGCAAGCACAGGACCGGGTTAACTGGCGGAACATGGGAGAGGCAGTGGACGTAGTCAGGCTGATGATGATGATGATATCCAACAGCAAAATGAATATGCGAATATTGCCATACAAAACATTCAAAAGTTGGCAGGAAAAATGGGCAGATGACAGCTGCTGCTACATCTGTAGACACGATTTAACTGTTGATGTAAAGAAGAGAACAGCAGATGCTGGTACACTTTCTTTTTCTCACGTGTCCCATTCTTCGCTAGTAAAATCAACTACTAGGGCTTTACATGCACGAAACACAACATACTAATGAGGTGATCTATAGTGAGGCACTCCAGACTAATTCTGGTCACCAAAATATCCTTTGTGCACACGAATTTAAGTAAATGTCCAGTTCTCGCATATCTTCCTTCATTGATATGCAGCCACCTGGACTGAAATTCCAAACCATGGCCTCTGCCAGAAGATACAATAAGCTAATATATATACGAAGTTCAAGCCCAAACTATGGATTCAGTGTGAGCTCAATACACTCTGCTCAATCAGTTTTCATGCGAGCTGCGGCTGATACAGGCAAGATGAGTATGATGACAGATGGCCAAATGCCCATCTTGACCCTTTGCAGCCCAAAACTTTTACCCGATTTCTGGCTCTACCAGTGCGAAACTATTGGCATCTTCTGCTGAGATGCACTGGCACAAAGATGGTGGAAGGGAAGTTACATCAAACACTGTCTGAGTTTCATGCCCCGCTACTGGCCAGACGAATGTGTGAACCACAAGACTCAAATCCTATTGAATGCATGACAGCAGCGCTGTCTGCAAGAGACGCCATTCAGCATATGACAGTTTCCAGCATCCTCTTTGTACTGGGAATAAAAGACAAAACGTAAAACTATACAAAGAGAGACACTTGCATGATGCTACGTGCCCAGTGGGATTGATTGATATGTGGGGTTTAATATCCCAAAACCACCATATGATTATGAGAGACGCCGTAGTGGAGGGCTCCGGAAATTTAGACCATCTGGGGTTCTTTAAAGTGCACCCTAATCTGAGCACACGGGCCTACAACATTTCCGCCTCCATGTGCCCAGTGGGTGTGCGTCCGTTCTCTAAGTGGTTGTGCTGCATGAGTTTAGTAGACGAGAGTTGCAATAATTTTCGCATCGCCTTCGGTGTCCAGTGAAATTCTGGCAGTAAAAATAGCCTTGTGCGAGTACGGTTGGACGATGCAAGGTCACTGTTGCATAGCCGGCGCACACACAGTGCGTGAACGACAGGCGAGACCAGCGCTGGGGGCTGAAAAACGTTTATTCTATCGTTAACACAGTATTTAAAGCATAGGAAGGGAGAGGGAGTTGGGAAGGAAGAAAGAGCGGGGAAAGGCATGCCGCTCAGTTGTTGGCACGTCACGCGCCTGGCTCAGGCGGTGGTAGATAACATAGCATTTCTCCTCCCTTAGAATTGAAAACGCTGTACAGGTTTTCTTTCCCGGGTAGAGAGTCGCAAAACTTGTGGGGATTCCTGCGCATTCTGGATAGGCGGCGGCGGTTGCGCAGGTGCCACCTGGTCTGCAGGCTGCTCGTTCAACTTGCCTACATTGCCGGTCGGTGTGGGCCCCGCTGCAGCCGGAGGGCTCCCCTCGTCTTGGTATCGCTGAGCGCCGCTCCGGGCAGATGCCGGGCTTGGCCTGGAACGCACTTGGTCTATATGACGTCGAACCACCCCAACGGGCTTTTGTATGGTGACCATGCGTGACCCTGTAGTGGACTGAACTTTCCCTGGTGTCCATTTCTCCCCCTGGCCGTAGTTACGGGCGTACACAGCTGTGTCGGGCGGCAGTGTCCACTCTTCCGTCTCCTGGGTTGACCCTGGGAAAGGTTGGGAAACATGAGTCCAAACGAGAGCGGATCAAGTAGCCGAATCGAAGTTCGGAAGGGGATTTTCCCTCGTGGCACGGCATTCTCCTGTAGTTGAAAAGAATTTTCACCAACTTCTCTTCTAATGTGCCTTCGCTTATCTTCTTTACAGCTTCCTTGATCGTCCGAACAGCTCGTTCAGCGAGCCCCATAGACTGGGGGTGATACACAGCCGTACGGAGGTGTGTGATGTTATTGTTCTTCACAAAAGTGGCGAATTCTTCACTAGTGAACTGCGTGCCATTGTCCGTAACTATTGTGCGTGGAACACCAAATCTGGCAGAAATGCTGCGAAAGCTGACAATAGTAGACGACGTGCTTGCCTGCCTCATGGGCACGGCTTCAATCCACTTAGTTGCAGCATCCACGACTACCAGTATCATGCTGCCTGCGATCGGCCCGGCGAAATCGCCATAGACCATTTTTCCTGTTGTGGCACGACGCTGAGAGGTGTTCTATCTCTCGGTCTAGTCCCGGCCACCAGAATGCCGATCTGGCGACAGCCTTCATTGCCGATGACCCTTTATGCGTCTCATGCAGCATATATAGCACCCGTTCTCGTGCTTTTGTGGGAACAAGAACTCGATGACCCCAGTATAACAACCGCTGAGCTACGGATAGCTCTAACCGGCGGTCCGAGAATGGCACCAACTCTCTGTCCTTTACATGTTTCGGCCAGCCTTGCTTGGTGTACTCCACGACCCTCGCTAGTAAGAGGTCCCGCGCAGTTAGAGCTTGGAGTTCTTCTACAGACACAGTACCATCATCGAAACTTGCTAGAGCGGAAACATACTCTGAGGGTTCGCTTCTTGACGGTGGAACTGGAGTCTGCAGCGGTAGCCGGCTGAGGGTGTCGGCGTTTAGTAGCAGCTTACCGGGCGAATACTGAAGCTTGTAGCGAAATCCACCAAGGTAGAGAGCCCAGCGCTGTATTCGTGCTGCGGCCAACGCTGGCGTCGGCTTCTCCGCTTTCAGCAGGCCCAGTAGCGGCTGGTGATCTGTGCCCAAGGTAAAATCTCTGTTGAGGAGATAGTCGCGAAATTTCGACACCCCAAAAACAAGGGCCAAGGCCTCACGTTCTAGCTGGGAGTAATTCCGCTCAGCAGTAATCAGCGTTCGCGAACGGAAGCCTATGGGCCGGTTCTCTTTTCCATCCATATGAAACAACACGGCACCAATGCCATGCGGCGAAGCGGCGCACTCCAGCTTTAATGGCTTTTCGGGGTTGTAGTGAACGAGCACCCCTGCCACAAGTAGGCACTGCTTTGTATTGGAAAAGGCTGTTTGTTGAGCTTCTCCCCAGACCCAACGCGCATTTTTGCCAAGCAACTGATACAAAGGTGCAAGCAAAGATGACATATTCGGCAGGAACTTGGAGTAATACGACAGCATGCCCAGAAACGAGCGTAGTTCCTGCACATTTGTCGGGTTAGGAGCCTGGGCGATTGCTTCCACATGTTTCTCAGTGGGGTGTAGGCCGTTTTTGTCGATTTGGTGCCCTAAGTACGTGACTGAAGGCTGACTAAATTTGCATTTGTCTAGCCGGAGTTTTACACCGTGCCGACGGAAACGCTGCAGTACCGTTCGCAGGGTCTCGCTGCTTCTCTGTCGCTCCGCAACCAACACATCATCGAGATAAGCTTGCACGCCTGGTAGCCCCTGCAGGACTGTTTCGATTTTTCGCTGGAAGATGGCTGGGGCAGACGCTATGCCAAAAGGCAGCCTCTTGAAGCAAAATAGCCCTCGATGTGTGTTAATTACGCATAGCTTCTGCGATTCTTCGTCAAGCGGTACTTGATTATACGCGTCACGTAAGTCGAGAGTGCTGAAGTACTCTCCGCCGTCTAGGCATGCAAACATATCGTCAATCACCGGCAATGGGTACTGCTCCAGTTCGCATACAGGATTTAACGTGATCTTGAAATCGACGCAAATTCAAACTGTTCCATCTTTTTTTAAGACGGGCACAATGAGCGTAGCCCACTCCGCATGAACTACCGGTGATAACACCCCAATTGCTACGAGTCTGTCAAGTTCTTGAGAAACCTTATCACGGAGAGCGAAAGGAAAGGATCGTGCCTTACAGAACTTGGGTGTAGCTCCTTCCTTGAGTTGAAGGTGCACAGAGTTGAAGGTGCACAGAACTCGCTGATGCAGCCGAGTTCCGCGCTGAAAATGTCTTGAAACTCGTTGACGATGTCGTCCATGGCCGGGAGACTCGTCGGCGATCCGGCTTCCGCAGTCAAGTTAAGGACAGGTGACCCTGCATTGCTCAACTGAAAAATTAGGTCCCTTCCGCATAGACTAGGACCGGGATAATTTAATACTATTAAGGAGCAGTCTACTACGGCACCCTTATAGGCTATATTCATGTCCAATTGTCCTAGAACGGGGAGCTTGCCAAGGTAACATGAAAGCTTGACAGATGAAGGTTTCAATGTCGGCCATCTCTCCCGGTTCTTTTCATAAATTTCACGTGGCACAACGAAGACGGGCGACCCCGTGTCTATCAGCATTGGCATGTCAACGCCGCACCACGTGAATGTCCTGTGGACTGGGGGTTCTAACTGCCACTTCCGGGATGAAGTCAGTGTCCAGAGGTGCATGGCTTCGTCTACGTTCCCCTCCGCACGGTCCTCCGCAACCGCCAGTGCTCGTCTCCACATGCCGTGCGTCTGCCCGGTTTCACGTTTCCTCGGCGCGTCGCTCGAACACATTTTCGCAAGATGGCCCGGCCTACCACAGCGATAGCACCTACTCTTGGCCCAGCCGCAAGCGTGGCTGTTATGCTTCTTACTTCCGCAGCGTCCGCATTTTAGCGCAGGCTCGTTCGTCAACACGCTTTGCGCGCCAACCTTTAGTACGGTAGTTGCATCACCCGATATCTTATTTGCATCATCTTCTGCCGTTTCGGCTGATAGTGCTATAGCTTCGGCCTCTTCCAAGATTAAGTTTGGCTTTGCCAGTAGCTGTTTTTGCAAGGCTTTTGATCTGACGCCACAGACTATACGGTCGCGGAGCATTCGTTCCAGCATGCTGCCAAAATTGCAGTTGTCTGCAATGCGTCGGAGGTCGACAAGGAAATGTTGCAAAGGCTCACCGTTGTGCTGACATCGACTGAAGAACCGGAAGCTTTCCGTTATCTCGTGGCGCTTCGGGTCGAAATATTCATCCAGCGCTGCAACGACTTCTTCGTAGGTTAGGCTGTTGGGTTTCTTCGGAGCAACTCGTCCCGTCAGAATCTGCATAGTCCTCGTGTTTAACGCTGCTACGAGCAACGCCCTTTTTTTCGCTGTGTCGGTAACCCCCGTTGCCTCGAAATAAGCCTCTGCCTTGATGACGTACGCTTTCCAGTTGTCTCTCTCGCCATCATACTCAGGAAGTTGGTGGTGGGCCATGGCTGCCGTGGTCACTGCGGCAGGTTCTTGAAATGCCGTACCGTGGTTTTTCTCGCTGTGTTCTTTTTCGTCATGGGTTTCAATCCCATCCTCGTCGCCACTGTTGCATAGCCTGCGCACAAACAGTGCGTGAACGACAGGCGAAACCAGCGCTGGGGGCTGAAAAACGTTTATTCTATCGTGAACACAGTATTTAAAGCATAGGAAAGGAGAGGGAGTTGGGAAGGAAGAAAGAGCGGGGAAAGGCATGACGCTCAGTTGTTGGCACATCACGCGCCTGGCTCAGGCAGTGGTAGATAACATAGCAAGCCGATTACAACAGTCACCCACATTTTCCGTCCCATCTGGCCATGTTCTGAAGCAGCGCCAGCTGCAAATTGCGCCTGAAATGATAGAACGCCACCGCATCGTCTGCCAGCGCACGCGGGCTGACAAGATTGCACCACGCTCTACCGTTGACCTCTGTGGTGGCATGCACTCGTGTCATGGTCGGCTCAACCGAACATGCAGTACTGCACACGTGTTGCCCAGACAAATGTACAGCATTGCACGAGTGCCCAAAAAATGCCACTGGTGCCGCCAGCCGAAGATGCCATATATTGCCAGTTTCTGGTGCCGCGAAGAAAAACAAACTGTGGAAGAAAACCTCCCAGGATATTTATGTTTCCTGCTGCATTCTACAGGCCACTCCCTTAGCGATATTTGGGCAGCGTATGATACCACTCAAACCATTCTCCTGGGCGCATGCCAGGGTTGTGTGTTCCCCTGTGCGTCAACAGAGGCGTTGTCTCCACCACCGTCGTCATCTTTGTCACTCACTTCTATCGAGTCACTGACATTATTGTCTGGTGAAGGTACGCAATTCTTTTCCTCACTAAACTCATCCTCGCACCACAGTAAAAGCACCACAGTAAAACGCACGCAGTGAAAACATGGCCATGCTTCTCAGTGAACCACGTGAGAATGGGTACGCTCTAGGCTCCATGGTGAACACAGGGCCGCACCCTAGTGCAAAAAAAAAAAAAAAAACTCAAACCTCAGCAAACAAAGCTCACTGATTCCTCAAGGGATGGGGATTCATGTACATAAAAGATGCTCATGACTCGCATTGAGAGAACCACGAAATTTAAACCATGAACACTCTTGTCGGGCGATGCCAGAGAGCGAGCCGCTACGATTGCATTGCATTGTCGGGCGGCGGTTGCCTGACAATGGATCGCAAAGGGTTAATATGTAATGGATGCACATAACATGCCCCCTTTTTTACTTATTTGAACATGCTGTGACTTAAATATGGTTCGTTGCAGAAGTGTTGTAAAACATACATAACAAGACATGTGGGTATCTCAAGACACTCACTTCATGAAGTGAGTATTTCGATAAGCTAGTCAAGACAGCAGGTGTCACTGTACATATATCATTTATAGCACTTTGTGACTACTATGGTCGACACCAACACTGTTGCTCACATCTTCGTTACTTCTGAGGCTCGTCTGGAATTCCTTCAAGTCCCTACAAACAAAATAAAAAACGCAAAAATCACTTGCATCTCTTGAAACATTAGTAAAAGTAATGATGAAGACAAAGAGAATGTTAAAAATTAATAAGACATGCTTGTTGATTATTTGCATTTTTCTGCTACCATTAAACAAATTGTCTGAAAATCACTACTATTATCTCAGCTATAGCTGCATTGTCACGTCGAGTGGAATACAACCACAACGCTTCGAGATATAAGGAAGCCACACTCATGATTAGTTGAAATTACAGATTGTAACAAAAGAAAGCATGTGTACAAGAAACCTGCATTCACGTGAAATGGTGTATAGAAAGCACAATAGAACTGCTATTATATCCTGGAAGTTCCAATTGAAGAAATAAAAAAAAAATTGCTACTTTTACTGGGCAAGCGACAGCAGACAAACACAGCTGAAGGCTTTCAGCAGATGTGCGAAAATCAATAGACGAAAGACGAGTGGGTTTAAGACACTGTCAAGCAAAGTCTACTTCGATGCTTACCCAAATATTATAGCCAATGCTATGCTAACTGTACGAATTACAACTGTACAAAATGTTTATGTCATTTTAACAATACTGATACAAATTAAGCGCTTATGCACATGCACCGTGCTCAGCCAATCCTTGGTTGCGTGAAGCAAGCAGCATAGAGACTATTCAAAGAGCTAGAATTCATTTTCAATATAGCATGCTTGGAAAGCATTTACTGAGTCACTTGAAAGTAAAACACCCGATGCAAAACATTCGTGCAAAACAAATTACTGAGGTGAGTCCGAAACATAACGACATAGTGATGTCGACAACAAATGCACAACCATTTACAGTTTCTGTAACATTCAAGCTATGGTGCCTGCAACCAGTTGGGCGACACAAGATAAAAAAAAATTCTGGGGCTTCGAGTGCGTAATCACGATATGATTATGAGGCACATCATTGTGTTAGACCTTGGACTGCTTCTGACCACCACTGGTTCTTACATGTGTCGCTAAAAGTAAGGACACTAACATTTTTGCATTTTGCCCACATCGAAGAGTGGCCACTGTGAGATAGCACGGCTGACAATTTCCTTTCCTTAATGCTGGCCCGATTTCGGATTGGCGGCTGAAACAAACAGACCAAGCAGAGAGGAAGTGCCAGAAACCCTTCAACCTCGCTACTTGATGCTGTGCGCTGATCCTCGTGTCCCTGCTCACAGGACATGGAGACAAGAGGTGAGAAAGTCGGCCGGACAGAGAGAGACAGGGTCTCTGCTGCTAGAGGTTGCCATAATCACCAGCAGGACCCGCGAGCCACTCATCGACAAAAGGTGCAAGCCTTACCCTTTGCTTTCCGCATAGAGAGGACTAACCTTCGAAGAGACGTTTATGCATTATTGCTGGTAAAGCAATAAAGTCTTTGTTGACGTAGCCTGTTGCCTTATTCACCCGAATCTGTTGCAGCTGTAATTACTCGTGCCATGGAAAGGAGACCTGCTCATGTGCACGGTAAGACTGTGTGTAACTGGAACTGGAACTAGGCTTATGCACCGACCGCGCATAGAGCCCTTCACTACCATTGTCCGAGTTCGAACCAGTGACACCATGATTTTATACATATGTATCACAATGCATGCCCTCACATTCTGCAGAAAATCCATTTTCTTCTCTGCTTGGCTCTTCTTTCGAACCTTTGCCTACACACGTTCATTGTATACACCGCCCTCATTTTCTTGTGTATGACCACATGCTTGTAATTACATCACCCACCACAAAGGGCACCTAAGGTATGCACAATCTTTGGGACAGGCACATCGTGCAATGCAGCCCCACACTGCAGGAGTGAAGCACGAAAAACCTAAATTTATAATTGTGAGAAACCTTGTTTGAATAATGATGACTGTTCAAGTCACGTGAGACCTGCATGGTGTTAAAGCTGCCAAGCCGTCTTTTGCACGCACAACAAAACTGGGCGTGCCATGATAGCAACAAATGACAGCTGGAGTAATGGAATGGTGACAAACAAATTATGACACTGCTATACAACAATCTTTGGAATAACTCAGCACTAACAATGACAGCATGAAAGCCACATGGATATGACAATGATAGCAAGGGATGCTTCAGCGAACTATCAGAACTTGTAGCACCAATGAACGAAATCTGGATGGGTCATGAAGGTAAAATGAGTATGTTACAAGAATGATGACAATACAGTGACAGCATATTATTAAAAATAATGAATAAAAATGACGAAATTGTCAGCAACACTCACACCTATGCTTCCTTGATTACTGCAGTGGAATGTTTCTGTTTGTGCTACAGGTTGCATTACTACATAAATACTTGAAAGAACCTCAGTTACTAGCTCTAAAGCTTTGAAAAAATCGCTTCAAGTCCCACTGATTTATAAAAATTATTTTGCATTTAAGCTGTGCTGCTTGAGAAGACATAACATGGCTCTGTTAATTAGCCCAACACTGCAGTCAAGCATTGTCATCAGACGTTCAAAGCTATAGTAAATTATTCACTACCTTCAGAATGGCATTGTACAGTCGCAACAAAAAAAGATTAGTACAAGTGACGGTAGCCGGAGCCACTAAATTACAACATGTGGCACTGTTGTTCACGAGCACGTCAATAGAGACATTGCCAAGCACATTCCATTTTTCACCGCAGGGGTGGCTGGCGGACCAGAAGAAAGCAGCCAATCTTGCTTGCGACCCATCTGAAAGCCTACAACTCAAAGAAATTCTCATTTATTGCTTATCAGCAAATGTGGCTCTGCATGTGATTTTTTTTTTTTTTTCGCAGGAGTTGCGAGCAACCATATTTTCATGATACGTAATTGCCCCAGAAAAGCTGTTTGCTAAAATGCATTCCGTCAACCACCCCCGTTCTGGAAAATAGTGTGTGCTTGACACTCTTGATATTGTCATCGGTAAAAACAGCGCCGAGTGTCGCAGTCTTGCCGTTCCTTTTATATCTGCGACTGTACACGTCTTGCTGCATGCAGGCAAGGAATATTTGGCTCAAGTAAACTACAAAAAATGTAGAATAGGTGCTGGATGCAGAGCAGGAAGATGGAACACTAGTAACATTCATGTGCCACATTTAAGGAAATGTTGCCCCTCTAATAAAACACGTACTTCTAAGTACATAGCAACACACCTCTTGAGCTCCTGTTATGGAATCGAACATGCAACCATCTACACCTTAAACCGGCCACAACTAAAATACGGAAATCCCTGCCCAGAAGTCCAAAGGCAGCGTCTTCTCCACGACTACAGAAATAGTCCCACTCATGCAATAATTGTTAGGGTTTAACGTAAAAAAACTACGATAGAATTATGAGGGACGCCACTGTAGAAGGCTCTCCGGAAACTTCAACCACTTCCGTTTATCCAAAATGAACCTAAATCTAAGCACACTGGCTCCAACCATTTTTGCCTCTATTCGAAATGCGGCCGCCACGAATCCCACTGATGCATTGGGAGATGTTCTGGAAAGCCCGGGTCATGGGCCATTAGGCTCATGACATCTTTAGGAGTGCCCTTACATTGATGTAGGCCTGTGTACATTGGCATGAGAAAATGCCACAGACTTCTAAAAATGTACCAGACTATACCTTGCGCCTTGATTTAAACACATGGTATTGCACCATGTGACAATGCAACACATAAAAGCATCCTAATCACAGAAAAGACGCAGCATGTCTTTCTCTTCCCACAAAATACACAAATGAGGAAAAGAGGAAAGGACTTACAATGGTCTTGTATATACTCCCACTCAGCCGCTCGTCTCGCATGCAGTCCTCCCGATCTCTGACATTATGCAAGATTCGCCTGTAAGGCTGTAAGGGCAAAGCATAAAATGTAGCAGATCATCTTTTTATGTGTTAGGCTCCAAACATATCCAAATGGTCTTTCAAAGAGACCTGACAAACAGCTGCATAAACCTCAGTCACATTAAATACCAATTTTAAACAGATAGAGCCTCGGATTTTACGTGCGATAACCATGATATGGTTACGAGGCATGACATAGTGGGGAACTCGGAATTAATTTTGACCACCTGGGGATCTGACATGCACCCAAGTATGAGCACTAGGGTATTCTTGAATTTTGCCGCCATTAAAATGTGGTAGCTAGAAATTTAAGCTGCAAATACCATCCGAGCACTTCAACATTTTGTCTGCAAAGCTACAATGTCGAGTGAAAATTGGAAATAAGTTTTGGGCTTTGCATGTTGAAACTATAATTATGAAGAATACTATAGTGAAGGAATCAGTGTTAATATCCATAATCTGCACATTCAAGGATGACGTCAATTTTAGTGCGCTACTGTTTTTAAACACGATAAACATTTTTTGCACTAGCTTACAAAAAAAAGCTGAAGACAACGAAGAAAAATGTATGAAACACATCAGTACAACGTGTTCAGTACTAGGTATCTTTACTGTCTTCAGTGTTTAATAAATACGAAGCATTTCCTTGCATATTGCAGGCACTTTTGGCGTCTCTCTCTGTTCATTTGTCTGTCCGTCTATCTGCCTACATCTGGGTGCTCTTGCGATCACCCCCTTAACTTGGGGCAAACCAAAATTAGTATGGGAGGGTAACATGGCTTGATGAATACGACTCGCTGGTCATGACGTGAAAAAATTGGGGGATTCTTAAAGGGACACTGAAAGCAAGTATTAAGTCAACGTAAATTGTTGAAATAGAAGTCAAGAAATCTCATAGTGTTATTTTTGTGCCAAGGATGTGCTTATCTTGAAATAAAATCATGTTTTAGTGGTCGGCATCAAGTTAGTGCACTTTAACTTACCAGACTCAATCAGAATGTGTCACGTCACTGCTGCCGTGCACGTTGCCCTGCTTTACTGCGCAGTCCAGTACAGAACAAAACACTAGTAGCGGAATGAAAGTAGCAACAACTGCCATTGAACAATTTCCTGCCATAGCCTGCGAGATGGCATATGCGCTTGGTTCAATTGGGCCCCGCTAAATGGCACGACTTGCCCAGTTTAACCAGACGAAAATTGAACTTTTGAACCCCTCGCGCCATTCCCCATAGTAACATCCCGCGATTCTTTTTTCCATGAATCAAACATAAATGAACAACCAGCCTTTTATTAAGTCTCTTGATGCACGGAAGGTTCTTTTTTTTTAGTGCAGCTAGTTCAATCGCTATTTATTAATTATAGACGGTACCTCTGATGTAATTGGGATCATTTTGCAAATGCCCTATTGTAGCGCATGCATTCTCATGCATATATCTCTTGGTAAGTAGAGCACTGCTGTTGATAATATTGCCATTTTAGATGCTGTCACACATTGATCTTTAACTCCGACATAAATTGTCATTTGACTTTAGTGTTCCTTTAAGCTTCGCTTTTAAGAGTTGAACGCGGTAGTGATATTCTGTTCCTAGTGCGTACTCCAAACACTCAGTGTATGAAATCTATTCGAACTTGCTATGCACCCACTACATGGCCTTAAAAGCCAACTATGGCGTTTTTTTTTTACCATGTCAGAATAATGGTGCTTTTATGTTTCTTAGACACTCTCGTCCCACATCCGATAACTGAAATGCTCAACAATATTGAAAATAGTTTTTTATTACCGAAAAAACGTAATACCGAAACGGAAACCCAACCGAGTGCGCTCCTACGTGTGATGTAATCATTTGCCCAAACCTGTCTGATTGCGCATAATGCCCGCCAGATGGCACGCTGTCCACCACGATGCCCGTCTGTCCACGCTGCCACCACGATCGGCTAGAACGCTTACGCTGTTATGGTGAATAAACAGCGAATTGTGCGTGGCTCAAAACGCAACACCACTTGCCACCTATGGCACGCCCACAAACATGGAAAAGGAAATCGCATGGTCAACCAAGGAAGCGTCAGCCGAACCCCGACAATTAATAGCAGACGCTGCAGTGGCACATCAGTTTTGTCACTTCCGCCAGGCAAAAGTCAACATCACATTCACAATGTTGCCATTAATTCTGGCAAGCGAAATGAGCGTTTCGAAGCAAGCTATAAAATTCATTCGAAAAAGAATGCGAAACTTTCAAGCTTGCGATTTGGCATGAAACGTGCAAATAAACGCACCCAGTGAATTTCATTGAGATCCATTGACCTCGAAAAATCGCAGGCGTTGGCAGTTAAGGGTGCTTTAGCGTGTGTGCCTTTTGTAGTGAGTAACTGACTTTAAACTATGATGTCATGATAATTCCATGTTCTGACGTACAATGGCAATGTGCGCGTGTCCCACACATTATTACATCAGTATATGTTGTGTTGTGAAACATGTGCAATGGCGGTGAAAATATTGCGGACCACAGGATGAATGTCAAACAGCAGTGAGGCACTTTCTGGTGGCTGCCTGCAAAGCTAGAGAGTGTGCATTGCGCACGCGCGGACTTTTTTACCTGCCAGCCTGCTCGTTTGCTCTCTTCAACAGCGTGCACACCGCAACGCTAAAAGATGGCAAGGTGTCACTACGGCTATCAGCGCGTGGACCTTATCTTAAAATTCGATTTTCGAAAAACTGACGCCGTATGCACGTTTTCGAAAACATGGAGCGTCTGGGACTAAGGTGCAGAATGCGGCGTGCACCGAGCACTGCCAGTACAAATTACGTATTTTTGTCACGATATCATCGCGCGGTGTTTTCGTGGCAACAGCAGGAGCGATACCTTGCGCTTTTGTTCCGGTGCACGTGCTGTTGAAGAAAACGAACGAACAGGCTGGTAGGTAAAAAAGGGCACGCGCGCACAATGCGAGCTTTTGAGCTTCGCAGGCAGGCGCCAGAAGACGCAGCATTGCTGTTTAATACGCGCTCCTGTGGTCCGCAAACTTTTGACCATCACTGTACACAGAACGCGCGTGTTTGTAAAGCATGAAAGTTACTTTCACTGCATTTCCAAGCAGAGGAAATTATTTTCACTTTATTTACAAGCAGAGGTGTGGCTGCGTGGTAGGACAACCGCTTGCCACGCAAACGACTCAGGTTTGATTCCCAGTCAGACCCATAATTTTTTATTATTTATTTTACTAGCATCTTTCTCGATTTTTCTGTCACGCAAAGATGGCCAATTCTTCACTCACAACCACCGAAGCAGATGCCGGAATTTATGAAAAACAAGCACTTTTAATGCTATCACATCAATAATGTCCCAATCCCTTTGTGTACATCGTCACTTTTTGCCAGACAGTGGCACATAACCTCAGGCAGGCATGTGACACTGGTATGCGAGTATGTGCTACAGGTGATTGAGAGTTTATGTCTACCAGGGAACAGTGAGAATAGACATTGGTTATTTTAACGCGATAGCGTCATGAAGAAAGCAAGCATCGGCAGTGTTGACCCGATGAATGCAAACACCAAACAGCTGGGCCTCAACTGGAATCAAACCCAAGCATTCTGCGTGGCAATAAAGTATTCTACCACAGAGCCATGCCAAGTCTCGATAACACTTTGAAAAAATACGCTATACAGGCATAACGTTAGTGGAACATCAATTATGGCTGCAATGCTGGCTATTCAATTTTATAAACATTTCATATGTACTTCTATGATACCGTCGTCTCGATGAGTTTGCGTCAATTGTTGTCAAGCGTCATCCCTAGAAGCTGATTTATGTAGCAATGTTCAGGCCTACCATCCTCACGAGCACAAGCGCTAGATATCAGCTTACCGCTTCTGGTGTTGCTAGTACTCATGTTGCTTTTTGCATCGTTGGGTGAGTGTAAACAACTGGTTATATGAAAATTAGCCGTGCCTTAGCTCGGCTATGCTAGGATATACGTAGCTGGAGCTAGGGATGGACAGACGAATGATTACGGCGGATGGATGAACGAACCAGATACGGACAGATGAGTGAACCATGAATGGACGGATGTACGGACGATCACGGATGGATGGACGGACAGACGGACTAGTGAGTGAGCGGCCTCACACTAGTCAAGCGCCAGCCCACAAGGAACACGTTGCTCCAGGATCTCCCAGGCCTTCGGCGCACCAGCTGTGAGCTCTGCGACATCACTACTCCTTGCGCTTGTGCAGAACTGCTCACCGAAAGCCTGCTCAACCATGTCCAGGGTAACTTACGCTCCAAAACATAAGCGACTGTTCAACATATCTTTGTGCGTACATATTTTTTGCATCATTTGGTAATGTTTTGCTAAAAAAAATTAGAACGCAGTCACTTTTGTTTTACATGCTTCACATAACGTCGATTCCTAAGGCGCCAAATTTTTTTGTAAGTTTGTGCAAGAAAGGTTCATCATGGAAATGAGACATGCGTAAAGCACTCAACACAGTAATGAAATGACCACTTAGGTACTATACAGCAGCAGCCATTATTTGGGACTTCTCGTCATTCGGCTTCAGTTTGAGATGACCGATCATCAGGATAGATTGTGAGGACAACTGTTCCACGTTAACTTTATAAAAAGAAATACTATGCTTTCGAGTTGAACAAGCTTATTTCCCCTGATACACTGAATCGATGGCTCTGTGGAGTCCCAACCATAGATGAAAACTTTCAGTGTCATCAGGAATGTAATAATACACCTGTGTCAGCAAGTAATATTGCTAGGAACGCTCAGCCTCTACGACAGATTCCTAGGAGAAGCACAACTTTTGCTTGCTCTGTCTGCCAGGTCTCTTCAGGAAACTTGGGTGGAGGAAGCATCACTGAAGATTAATTATTATTGTTTCTCCAACTGATTATTAGCTGATTACGATTGCTCCTCAAAGCATTCAAAGCAACAAAAGCTACAGTGGCATCAACTGCTTTAGCTTCTAAGCTGCTTACATTGACAAGAGAAAATTATAGTCAGCTAGACAGAGAAGCTTTGCAGCTAATCAATTTCACAAACTTGATATTAGGTTGCTAAAGGTGGCTTCACATAATTAGTTAGACCAAAGAATCCAACTTGCCCCGAATTACAGCATGGTTCTCAATATACTGGCAAACGGTTGTTGCAACACTGCTTACAGCTATGCCACGCAATGCCCCGAAGAACCATAGTCACTAAGAGGAATACGCGGGTTTGCAGCTGAGATACAACCACGTTTATGCAGACAGCTCAAGTTGAAATGACGTCAAGCGAATTGGCTCGTAGCAAGCCCTTACAAATTAGGAGTTTTTGCATGACTGTGAAAGCTCGACGTAACATAATGCATGTTCGAGAGTTTGTTGAAGGCTCCTAGACGAGCATTACTGGGCGTTTTTGGCGCCTAAATCACCCAAGTGCCGTTGGAAAGCTGCACGCCCGACTGCAACATATTTGAAGGTAGCGAAAGTATGTCGCAGAGATGTGATCGACACTGCTAGACGGTTCTACCTCTGTCAGACTCTTTTTCTTTGTTCTTTACAGCAAACCTCTCGTAAAGGCGAAAGTTACGAGCCGCGACAGAAATGAGAACACTCGTGGACTGAAAAACTTGCGCCAAGTTCCATTAACCGAAGGTCACCGGTGCACTTACTAACCTTTCCGTCGAAAAGCCAAGACAATGGCTTGCAGGTAAGATTTGGAACTGACATGAGAACGCCGATGATGGCAACAGATGGAATTATTTCATACCACATGTTTAAAAATGCAGCGTTCAAACGAAATCCGACAAAAGCTAAAAGAAGAAATCACGGCCTCAGCCGTCTAGCTTCCCCGCACTGCACAAGCGACACGAAGACCTCTAGCGGTCGTTTCGTTCGTGTCCTAAAGTTTAAACGTCTTTGCGGCTTCCACGTGCTCCATAAATAAACAATTAAAAAATCAATAAAAACTAACATAGTAGGTAACGCTTAGAGACAAATAAAATAAAGTCTTTTTTTTTTTTACGTAGATAATAGTTTTGGTTTTGGGTGCGACGACCAATGGGGTCCATTTCAGACATTCCTTTTCCTTGCAATCAGCTTTCAAACTAGCTCGCACGTGACGTGCTGTTTTGATCGTAGTTTGGATTGCAGTAGTGCGTTGATTGCGTTTGCTGACACTCCGCTACCTAAGGTAAAAATCTGACGAGACTCGCTCGCCGCGACTTGCTCTTACCGTGTGTCTTCAAAAAAGGGCTAGGAAGAAAAGCGAGGAATGTGGTGAACCCCGTGGGGTCTTCTTAAGTTCGGGTCATAGTGCTCCACGCTCCTATCCTCGCTGTCGTCGATTCAGTAGAGCCTTTTAGATTACGTATCATCCAGGCAAGTTCATGTTGTAACTGGCGCAAGCCTCAAAAGTTCTACGGTATTGCCCGGAAAAACAACAGATGTTCCTAGCTCCGCATGCATTGTTCGCTGCCCGTGTATCACCTGTCACTTTCCTCATTGTGACTTTTCCTGCAGCCAGGATGGCGTCAGTGGGCCTTGTTGACCGCGTTTGTGGTGTGTGATGTCTGCGGCAGTTGACGTATCCCACTCGATGAGCAAATATGCAACGTTTCATTCATTCGCAGGCTTTCGAGCGGAGACGAGATATGCGCAGCGCCTGCCGTAGAGAAGCGGCTCACTCCGCGATCGCCATCCACAAGGATCCGATCAAGAAGGAAGCGCTGCTAAAAGAGTCGGGAAGCTGTGGAAGATCTCCGGTCGTCGATTTCCTCGTCTCAGCTTGGGAGCGACAGCCGGTGAGATGCGCACGTCAGTGTTTAAACCGCTTCACTAAAACTGCGGGTTTGCTGGCTGTGCGTAACCTGCCAAGACATTTGTGTGATGCCCGAAGGATGATGGAATAGAAACGAAGGAAACGGGTAGTCGTCAGTTCTGCAGTCGTACAGTATTGTTCAGTGTGCTCACTTCGCTCTTTTCGACGTTATGTGCGCTTATCCAAACATTTCATGTACTTATTTGTACGTCCACAGTGAATACAGTAATAATTCTGTAAAATTTTGTGTCCCCTCTCTTTTGCCTTCTTCCCCTACTCTTTCATTCTTAGAAAATGGACTATGACATAAACGTCATAAAGGAAGGCTACTCATTGCTGAGCAAGGACGGTCGCACCATGGTAGCCAATGGGACGTCTACCCTTGTACGTGGACCTGGCTTCAACATCATTGTTGATACACTGTCTGCTTGGGACAGGGACTTCCTTGTGGACAGTAAGTACCTTTCCGTCTCATCTCTAATGTCGCAGTTATCGCCACATAAACTGGGCACACTGCTTTCACCATTTCTACAGATGTCAGTTCTTGCAAACGTCGTGGAGCATACTGGATCCTTCAGTATTTTTCTACTGGTCATGAAACTCCTGCATAATGCTGTGGGAGAACTTGATGCTATGGAATGCCTTCATTTGGGGAGGGGCCACATAGCTAGAAGATGACAATGTGCATTCTAGACAGCTGTAGGGGGAATGTACTTGATGTCATCCAGGTAGAGTGCTAGTAACGGAATCGCCATTGTAAAGGTACTCGCTCCCGCCGCACATGCAAGAAACTTGCTGCGTGCACTGTATCCCAAATCTATCCATGCATTGAGCTGGATGAATAGAGACCTCCAAAACACCCCTTAAATGTCAATGCATGTACAGCATGGACGGAGTGAACAAATGGGTCTTCAAAATGGCGCGACGATGGTGTTGCTGCCTTGTGGATCAAGGCTCGGTGCATATTCCCTTGTGATGCTATAACAGGTACTATAATGCACATTATGGCTGTCGTAACAAAGATTCTCATGGTATCAATTTATCGGTTCAGTTATCCCTTCATCAGCAAAAGGATAGAACAACAGGAGAGCTGAGCTAGTTGGCAGGTATTTATGTTAAAATTTTCCTGAACATCTCGAAAAACCGCACAAAATATGGCTTGGACAAACAAGACTGTAATATAAAATGGAAGGGCACACGACAGCGCTCAGCTCTCAACTAAGTTTTCTGCGCTGCGGTGTGTTTTTCTATCTTCCTTTGTCTGTATCATTTCTCACGCTATTTTCAAGATGTTCGGTAACAATTACCAGCTAGCCTAGCTATCAGTTCTGCTACATTCGTGTTGAAATACTGTGCATGCAAATACTGACACAAGAGAGATGTAAAGACAACACAAATGCCAGTTTCTGTGTTGTCTTGACTTCTATCTAGTGTCCGTGGTAGCATGCCCAGTTGTTTAACATCAAAGGGCCAGTGAACAGGCTCCGTCTTTTTCTTTTTTCTTTACACCCCACAAACAAACTCTCCATTATTCATACAGTATACCACGGTGATCATATTTCTAATATTACACCGCTGCATGCCTTGCAGATCCTCCATTTCGAAAAACGATTCCCGTGCCTTTTTCCTTCTGAGCAGTTCCCCTCGTATGCGCAGTGATGCAAACATGCTCACGGAGAACTTGACTTATTACTGAGCTCGTCAGTTGGTCCTTTGCCCTACAAAATGGCGTGTTGGCCCTGATGCAGTTCTGGGCACGCAGTCTGCATTTTCATTTTCCTGCGCTGTTGTCTGCCGTTTTGTAGAGCCCTAGATTACCGGCAGAAGCAATGTCGCCAGAACGAATGGCTCCGAGATAAAGATGCATGCAATTAGTGCCAAAACTGATTTATGTACATACTCGCTTGTTCTGCATGTGAAATTCTCATTGGCAGCTTCTTGGTGCCCTGGAATAAATAGGGAATCTACTGGAGAATGAGTGTCGTGGCCTGCCAGTGCTCTGTAGATCCCATATCATAACTTCTTGCAACTCTATGTGAATCTGTGGGTCAGCTTAGGTTAGTTATGGTGAAATGCACAATCTAAGCAAAATTGTAGTGGGGCTAGTAAAAATGAGCTAGTAAACAGTTTGCATGCTCAGTCAACACTCTTCACTGCCATGTTTAGTTAGTGAACACAGCAAAAAAATGCAGCCTAATGTTGTTCTTCAGAAATGCCCTGCGAACGTGTACTTGCCCTGATGAACGCAGCAGATCAGAGCTGTTCTTCTCACAGTGGCGCCTCTGGCGTTAGCTTTTGTTTTTATACGAAACTTCAACAGGAGCTTTATGACGAGAAGAAAAGCATTGAAGGGCCCTGTTATTTCCCTTGCATTTATGTAGTCGTCATCTTTGCAGAGTACATCTCTATCTTGAAACTTGCCATAACGGCTGTGTAACTGGTGCTTTGCTGCTCAATGTGAGGCCAAGGTACCAGTTTTTTGCCGTGAAGGTCATGTTAAGTATAGAAGTGCTTGTTTACTGAGGTCTATGTGTATTTCAAATTATTCCAGGAGATCAAAATTAATTTAAAGCCCTCGACGTCACCCCGTACAGTTGGCTGTGTACCGTATTTACTCGATTCTACCGCGCCCTCGATTGTAACGCGCACCCGATTTCCACCGCGAAAAAAAAAAAAAAACCGTAAGACATCGACTGCAACGCGCACCCATTTTTTTTTTGCTGGCCCGCACGATCACACCACTCGAAAAAACGATTCCTTTCGGGATTGTCTTCCATTTAAATATGAGGTACGGGCGAAGCTTGTGCCCATCTGACGTGTAACAGAGCATTGCCGTCACTGTAGTTTTACCGTGGACCGATGTTAGCACGCGAACTTGCTTCGCCCCCTTCTTCTCGACGGTTGTGGTGCCAGGCATGTCGAAGTAAAGAGGCGTCTGATCGGCATTCCCGATTTGCCCAAGCAAGTAGCCGTTGTTGCGCCGCAAGTTTAGGACGAACCTCTGAAAACTGTAAAGCTTTTCATCGTACTTCTCCGCAAAAGTTTTCGCATATGCATGTTCCCCTTCGGAGGGAAAAGCCTTTCCTCTTCATATAGTTAATTAGCCAGCACCTGCTCGCTTTAAACAGGCTCCGCATTAGACTTTTTTTCTAAGACTAATTGCATAGCCCGCACTTGGAGCAGTTCTGTCGTCATGGGCCGCTGTGCCACTCGCTCCTCAAGCACATACTCGCGGAGCAGCTCTTCAATTTGCAGAAACCGACCCTGCTGTGGTTCACTGAAGCCTTTGCGTGAAGCTTTGCTGTCGACAATCTTCTGCTTTTGTTTCCGCCGGTCCCGCACGCACGTTTCGAGAAGGACCGCGATGCGGCCCGATTTCCGTCCGTTTCGGCACACGCGATGACTTTTCTTTTAAAAGCGGCATCGTGGTGCACTCGAGTTTTTGGAGTCGGCCCTTCCAAGTCGTCGATGCTAATGCACTACTAGATGACGAACTCCTCAGCACACGTACGAAGTGCCGCACATGGTAAACACATAGGCAGAAATAGCCGACGCACGTAGGGGGCGGCCATTTTGGATTTGCGATGGCAATAGATTGACCGTAATTTTTTTGTTCGTACTCGATTCTAACCCGCATGCGATTTATGAACTCGCTTAACCGGAAAAAAGGTGCGCGTTAGATTCGAGTAATTACGGTACTTTAGGGGCAATAACTCTCTTGTTTTACCATTAATGCACAAGGTAACGTTTTACTAAAATAAAACCTAATTGATTAGTGCTAGAAGTACTGCGCATGGTTCAAAACACATTGCACAGAAATTCAGCACTGCCATGGCTTTTTTATTTCTGTCAGAAATAGGCAAGTCTGTAGTATTAAAAACCATTCATTTAAAACAAAGTGCTTCTCTTTTCGCACCTCTTGTGCCTCAAGTAATGTGTAGCTACTAGTATAATTGAGGCATTGGTGATACATATGGTAATACATTTTATAGTGATTGTTTTGGAGGCCTTGCTCTATTTTTTACTTGGCTGGGAATGCAGTGAAATCTGTGCTAGTAGTAGTGTTGTAGAAGTTTCCTATGATACATCTTTCAGTTCAGTTGTTTTTGATTTGTGACATTTTTCACGAGAATAATCCTTCACATTTCACACCTGCACTTTGTGGAGACAAGCTATGTCACTTAAATGTTTGCTATTTGTACAGCTTTGCGCTACTGTGTCTTACATGTGTAGCATTGAACCACCTTCATGCTACGAAAAGAATGCACGGCTGTACGATCAGTTTTTTAAGATTTCCAAGGTTCAGTTTCACTATTGAACTTTGTTGAGTGATTTTGAGCATGGTCACCTTTGTTTTTTAGGTCTCGCTAAGCTTGGTGTGTCCTGTGATGAAATCAACTATGTGGTGTGCACACACGGCCATTCGGACCACATTGGAAACCTCAACCTGTTCCAGAGGGCCACCCACATCATTGGTACCACAGTGTCCAGTGGTGACGTGTACCAGTTGTGCACGTTTGAAAACGTAATGTATTCATCACTTCTGTTAAAAATATGTCTGGTCACTCACTCAGTTTGCAGTGACAAAAGCAAACATTTCACTGATATATGCCCAGCTGGGGAATAACTTCAATGATAGTATAGGTTTGTTGCTGATCAAACGGTTTTGATACAAGCAGACCTGCCAAATTTCCTGTGTTTCAACCATTTCTGAAGTCTGTACGGTTGGGTAAAAAAAATCTCGCAGAAATCGATATTTCTGTGCGTGATCTGACTGCATTAACAAAAATTGAACCCAATCCGATTCAGGCTTCTTACGAAACTATTGAACTATCGCATTACAATTTAAATGAATTGGAAGGTGTTGATGTAAACATACATTAGAATCTCAGTGATATGAATTCATGACATTCCCCAGGCGTGAATTCATGACATTCCCCAGGCGAATTTCACTGTGTCCAGAGGGCCAAAATACGGCTGTTTTAAGCGCTTTAGCATGTCATGCCAGCTGATACAAACTTCTGTACAAAACTGTCGAGCAATGGCCAAGAGCAACATGCTGGAAGCTTCGGAAGGACGGGAACGGCCAACAAACTCTTGACGCGATCACATATGGCGACGACGAACTGACTGAACACCCAAAATGCACGCTTGTACAACGCTCACCCAGTCAAAGTGATGCTTCTTTCCGCGAACGCTGATGACAAAACTGCGACAGATGCAATCATTGATGGCAAAAAGCAACATAGTTTTGAGAGCACGTGTGCGGCCAGTGCAGATGGATTATCAATGAAATTACTGTTTGCCGCAACCACCGTGATCGAAACCATGGTCGCTGCAATGCGATTATCTATGAGGACTACTATGAGCTCCGGAGATACGCAACTAACTCAGTGGTAGATTAAAGGCATCAAAGGTGTAAAAAACAAACAAAGAAAGACAGACCTGAAGCTTTCATTGTACATGTCAATCTTCAAATATGACTACGGTAAAGTGGGCTAAAGCGCTTTTCAGTTGGCCTGATGCGAAGCCAGAGAATGGACCAATGAAAGACGGTGCAGCTAGCTGCTGCAGGAGTACGCATCAGATCTTTGCCATCTAAGATGTTCTGTACATCTATGTGGCGAAGCTTTGACCCACACTTTCAGGGCAGCCAGCTGCGTTGTTCCTTACTGATCTGTTCCCGTGTGTCCCCGTAGGCAAGTTCTTTTGACAAAAAGAAATGTTCTGTGCGTAAATCGGGGTTTGAAAAGCAATTTTGCTTTCTTTTTTAAGATACAAAGTTTCGGGTGATTTGTACATATGTACATATCACAGAGATTCTACTGTTATAGGGACACTCCAGCTGCGTTGTTTCTGAGTGATTATAAAGATTGCAATGCAAAAGTTTACACTTACAGGACTGCATCTCCCGCACTTTTTTTTAGAAAAAAAAAGGGGGGTACGAAGGCAAACCCCTCCATCCCCCCTTGTGATAATCTTCCAGATGTGTAATCCTTGAGCTTGAAGAATATGAAATTTCATCGTTCAACTGCCTCCTTCTTCATGGGTGAGGTCACCGGGTCACATGAATACTATTGCACACAATTGAGCTAGGTAGCACTCCCAATGGCCACTTGTAATTCCTTCGTGCTTGCTCTGTTCTTAGCCCGAGGACTTCGTGGCTTTGTAGCCCATCATGAGTGAGTACCAAACAAAGAGTTTAAAAATGACATTGCTGACTTGATCAATCTCAACTTTGACCAAGAAAGCAGTGTGTCTTCGAAACGGTGATCCTGTATATTAATACAGTGGAATTTCGATTTTACGTCCCCTGGTTTCGTGGTGACCCGCTGTTTATGACGGATTGGTTTGTTCCAGGCAAAATTCCCATAGAGATGATGTACCGTATTTACTCGATTCTGCCGCGTTCTCAATTGGAACGCGCACCCGATTTCCACGACGAAAAAAAAAAAAAAAACGTAAGATATCGATTGCAACACGCACCCATTTTTCTCGCTGGCCCGCACGATCACACCACTCGAAAAAACGACTCCTTTCGGGAGCGTCTTCCATTTAAATATGAGGTACGGCGAAGCTTGTGCTCATCTGACGTGTAACAGAGCATTGCCGTCTCTGTAGTTTTACCGTGGACCGTTGTCAGCACGCTAACTTGCTTCGCCCCCTTCTTCTCGACAGTTGTGGTGCCAGGCATGTCGAAGTAAAGAGGCATCTGATCGGCATTCCCGATTTGCCCAAGCAGGTAGCCGTTGTTGTGCCGCAAGTTTAGGACGAACCTCTGAAAACTGTGAAGCTTTTCATCGTACTCCTCCGCGAAACTTTTCGCATATGCCCGTTCCCCTTCGAAGAGAAAAGCCTTTCCTCTTCATAAAGTTAGTTAGCCAGCACCTGCTCGCTTTAAACTGGCTCCGCATTAGACCTTTTTCTAAGGCTACCGTAATTACTCGAATCTAACGCGCACCTATTTTCCGGTTAAGCGAGTTCATAAATCGCATGCGCGTTAGAATCGAGTACGAACAAAAAAATTACGGCCAATCTATTGCCATCAGCAAATCTAAAATGGCCGCCCCCTACGTGCGTCGGCATGGCGCGTCGTCCATTTCTGCCTATGTGTTTCTCATGTGCGGCACTTCGTACATGTGCTGAGGAGTTCGTCATCTAGTAGTGCATTAGCATCGACGGCGTGGAATGGCCGACTCCAAAAACTCGAGTGCACCATGATGCTGCTTTTAAAAGAAAAGTCATCGCGTGTGCAGAAACGGACGGAAATCGGGCCGCATCGCGGTCGTTCGGAGTTCCCGAAACGTGCGTGCGGGACCGGCGGAAACAAAAGCAGAAGATTTTCGACAGCAAAGCTTTACGCAAAGGCTTCAGTGGACCACAGCAGGGTCGGTTTCCGCAAATTAAAGAGCTGCTCGGTGAGTATGTGCTTTAGCAGCGAGCAGCACAGCGGCCCGTGACGGCAGAACTGCTCCAAGTGCGGGCTATGCAATTAGTCTTAGAAAAAGGTCTAATGCGGAGCCAGTTTTAAGCGAGCAGGTGCTGGCTAACTAACTTTATGAAGAGGAAAGGCTTTTCCCTCCGAAGGGGAACATGCATAAGCGAAAAGTTTTGCGGAGGAGTACGATGAAAAGCTTCACAGTTTTCAGAGGTTCGTTTTAAACTTGCGGCGCAACAACGACTACCTGCTTGGGCAAATCGGGAATGCCGATCAGACGCCTCTTTACTTCGACACGCCTGGCACCACAACCATCGAGAAGAAGGGGGCAAAGCAAGTTCGCGTGCTGACATCGGTCCACGGTAAAACTACAGTGACGGCAATGCTCTGTTACACGTCAGATGGGCACAAGCTTCGCCCGTACCTCATATTTAAATGGAAGACGCTCCCGAAAGGAGTCGTTTTTTCGAGTGGTGTGATCATGCGGGCCAGCGAGAAAAAATGGGTGCGCGTTGCAATCAATGTCTTACGTTTTTTTTTTTTCGCGGTGGAAATCGGGTGCGCGTTACAATCGAGGGCGCGGTAGAATCGAGTAAATACGGTAATGGCATAGCCAGCACTTGGAGCAGTTCTGTCGTCACGGGCCGCCGTGCCGCTCAAGTACATACTCCCCGAGCAGCTCTTTAATTTGTGGAAACCGACCTTGCTGTGGTCCACTGAAGCCTTTGCGTGTGCTGTCGACAATCTTCTGCTTTTGTTTCCGCCAGTCCCGCACGCACGTTTCGGGAACTCCGAACGACCGTGCTGCAGCCCGATTTACGTCTGTTTCGGCACACGCGATGTCTTTTCTTTTAAAAGCGGCACCGTGGTGCACTCGTCGAGTTTTTGGAGTCGGCCCTTCCATGCCGTCGATGCTAATGCACACCAAGATGACGAACTCCTCAGCACACGTACGAAGTGCCGCACATGGGAAACACAATGGCAGAAATGGCCAACGCACGTAGGGGGCGGCCATTTCGGAATGCCGATGGCAATAGAATGACCGTATTCATTTTTTTTTTTTCGTACTCGATTCCAACGCGTATGAACTCGCTTAACCGGAAAAAAGGTGCGCGTTAGATTCGAGTAATTACGGTATTAAAAATCCTCGTTGTACGACACAGTTTCATGCCGACCCCCCCCATCTTAGGACAACTTTCTGATTCTGTCGGAATTAAGAAACGCACCTTCACTCACATCAAACATTGACCAAATACTCGCGAGGACAAAATATGAACTTGTGTTCTCGTAGGTTCATTATTCGCAAAGTATAGATTGAGACAGGATGTAGAATGGAAAATTCATTCTTCGGTAGTTTGTGCACTTCTGCATATGTCTCGATCGCGTGCGTACGCTGGGTAGTGATGCAGAACTATCAAAAGCACAATCGATAGTATTGATGTTTGCGTCACCATTAGACTATCGATGGTACGATGAACTATCGATAGCACTATCGATGGTTCATAGTATACTATCAGCGGTAATTTCGATAGCACTGCCAATAGTATGAAACCAACTGCGCAAACTCATCGTCACGTAACCTTGTTTTACGGTGGGCGTAGTAAATGGTTGTGGGGATAACCATAGCAGGATTCACAAGGCAGTGCTATAGCTCAAGATTATTTACTACAACATGAAACAGACGGCACCAGCGGCATTTCTTTGTCTCCCCGCCACGGTGGTCTAGTGGCTAGGGTACTCGGCTGCTGACAAGCAAGTCGCGGGATCGAATTTTGGCTGCAGTAGCTGCATTTTCAATACAGATGAAAATGCCGTAGGACCTTGTGCATTCAGGGGTGCAACAGCTGCGCCAATTTGATAAAATTCCCGATTGTTGCACCGAGCTGCACCAAACCTGTGAAATTTACTGAAATTGTGCCATGCTGTGCCAAAATACCCCGCCAGCCTCGAAATTTTGTTCAGGTGTGCACTTAGGCGAGAAATGCAGACCACGTCGGCCACCTGATCTTGCACCATAAGTAAAAACGCACAGATCTGAACTATAGTGCCTAAAATATACTTGAAATATTTTAGGCACCCGTCGTAAG